TGCACAGTGTCACAGACCTCAAAAATAAATACAGAAGCCTTCCTCTCCTCGCTTTTTCGTGGGAATTTCACCACTTTAGTAAGCAGATAACAACGTTTGGTTGCTTCTGGCTGTCCAGTGAATTGTCAGGTACATCTGTGAAAGAAACATCTCTCTCTCTTTTAAAAGCTAAAAAGTGATATTTTCCACTGTTTTTAACTCTTTGTTCATGTGAACAATGCAATGGCATTTCCTACGATGTTAATTTCTCATCCTACCATGGAATAAAGCATTTATTTAATTCCTCTCATCACCCCAAACTGTAGAAAGAAATTCTTTCATCTAGTTCAATGTGCAACCATTTATTTCACTGGCGATTAAGCTGAATCCATCTTAAAATATCTTATTATCCCCCCCCCCCCATAATTACACAATCAGCTTCATGTTTCTTTATCTACGCTAGCAGTGCACCTCTCACTCTGTTATTTTCAGGATTCACAAACTGATTATTTCATTCTCTTGCAGTGCTGCAGAAATAGATTAAACTCTGTTCGTTCCCTATAGGATCCCTTTAGGATTTATCCCTTTTCAAAAGGAATTCAAGAGTCCCTGGCACTGTTTTAGAAACAAAGGTCAAGTGAAACAGCTTTGCTCACCCGTGATTTCCAAAATGTGGGAGAGGGCTCTCTCTCCATATTTGTAGTCTGAAGTTGCCTGGTCTGTAGTAATCCTGATACGGTTACGTGTTATACTCCATTGCTTCATATTTATACTGTGGTTGCTGTATTTGTTTCTATTTATATAACTCCTCTCGATACTCTCTATTCCTGGGCTGCTCGAGAGTAATATCTGCTCCTGCTTGGTAGATGTACTTTTTAGTTACTTTACATCCCAATAAAAGATCCCCCAAATATTTCGTTCCATCTTATACCCTGCAGTTTTGAATCTCCTAGCAAATGTTGTTGTTGACGATTTCACAAATATGCGAATTTGTAAAACTGAACTTTTTGATGTTATCGTACTGGAGAAGAATCACAAATGTAATTTCTGAAACCACATCCAATACCAGCCTACTTTTTCAGTATAAAGATCCTTATTAATGAGGAGACTTACTTTATATTATTTTCTCCTGGACCAATTAATGCAAGAACTTCTGCAGAAAAGGTGACCCACAGTACTCTACATCTAGTCACGTTTTATCACCTGTTAAACGCTTTAAGGTGCATGCAGCCCACTAGCTGATTTATTCCTTTAGTTTCCCAGAGCCCTTTTGCAGTAACTGTTAACTTCCTCATGCAACAGAGAGTCATAATTACACTTTCAAGGAATCTGAATCTGAATTTCAGTTTACCATGTTGCTTCGGAGAAATACAGAGCGGATTATAGATAAATGTCAACAGTAAACATAAAGCAAGCTTACCTCTAAATTAGGCGTATATATCGTGCATGACTCATTCGATAGAGCTATAGGCTTGACCGTGAAGTTAAACATCCTTGTTTAACACCTGAACTTCGGGCATGCGATAAAAGCCGCTACTTCTGAATAGGCGGGGCATTTGCCATGCAAAACAAGCTGTTTTCTTAAAACTCAGTTAAAATTAAAGCAAATGCTGGTGGAGCTCGAGACAGGTCTTAGACGACCTTGTTTAGCAGTATAGGTGAAACATAAGCGAGGAAGATGACTTTTACCTTTCGGCGTTCGCCTCTGTCTCACAGCAGCCACTGTGAGAAATCCACGTGGTAGGTCAGGTTTCTATTTCATGCGAGGAGTGCAAGGCAGAAAAAAGCTTGGGGCTTCATCCAGGCAGGATGGCGAAGTGGCAAGACAGTTACATGAATAGCAACAGAAAGTGGTTGTGATCACGTCGCCCTGTGGAACTGCGAACTACGTTGCGGCGTTTTAATAATTCAGATGTTTTTAGTGGTCTTCGCACAGTGCATTCTGTAGATGTTTTCACAAAACATGCATTATACGTGCCGTGCTGCTTGGATTACTGTTCTATATATTCCTTAAGAACAAAAATGCGCAAAGCTTCATATTTCACAGAGGTTTTTAATCAGAAAACACAGCAGTGTGACAGAGCGTATACTAAACGTGATAGACAGTTTCAGGAAATTACTTCTCATTTGAAAACAATAGGAAATGACTTTGTGGGGCTAAAATATTTTTCGACGAGTAAAAATCTAAACTAACCTATCTTCTTTTAAGTGCTAGTTTGTGGCCATCTATTCATTTTACACTGATTTGATACCTTCTATTTTTTGCGATTAAAAATCTAAACTATTAAAAGTAAAGCACTTTAAACTGCTCCTCTGTCGAAAAATTAGGATCTATACAAATGTTAAACTCATTCCAACAAGGTGCTTACCGTCGTTAGCTCGCCTTGGAGCTATCGAGGTAAATGAGTTTTGGTCTTATGCATACTATCAACTGCACTGTAACAGAAAATTTTTAAGGGTTAACTTGTATTTTAGGTGCAAGCCATAATATAAGTTCAGGAATATCGAACGTATTGCTTCCTAAATTTCACTGTGTTCAAATATTCATTTTCTGTGAGACGCATCTATCATTAAAATGGTTTATTTCCAAAACAAAACAGAACAGTTTGTGGAAAGCAAGTATTTCTTAAACGGCCTCTAACCAGCTCTCAGCTTATGAAGTGAACAGAAAACTTGTTATATTACAGCCTTATAATACTCTTTTCCCTGCCAATGGTTATCTGCTGCTTGTTCTGAACCTAGAAAAATGTATTGTTCAGTGCACAGTAAACACGAACTACTAAACTGAGCTGTTAAAAACCCCTGGCAATCAAAAACACCACTTATATTGTTTCTGGTAACTAAATTCAAAAGCAGCTTGGTGAAAGTTTAAATACACAAAGGAGAAAAGTGTAATCTACACTTAGAAAATCTAAGTGACCACCTTCTTCTAAGTGACCTACAAAATGCAGCTATTTCCCAACGCTTCTGAGCGACATCCGCTCTCTTCAAGCCAAGCAATCTCTGACTTGAAGCCCTGCCTGTACAAGGATTTGCAGGTTACCCTTTAAAGGGCTGCCTCACCCAAAACAAGACCTCAGACGCTTAAGTACGAGCTAGGGGACGGGGTGGCGGGGGGGAAATCACAGTAAGCTATTTTCTTGTCTTAAACGTAAAAGTACAGCAACATAAAGCACGTGAATATATAGCTTTCTTTTGTATTAAGGACTTCATACAAAAAGCCTAAAATAAAGTGTAACACTTGATACTGGCAAACTAGGTATGAGCGACCAACATATACACGGTTGAGTCTCTTAACGCTTTGTAGGCGGCAGGTGCAAGGACTTGCTAGGAGTGTGGATTTAAAATCTAATCATTATCTAAAACCCCACCTCTCTCTTCAGGGGGAAAAAAAGGAAAAAAACCAAAAAAAAACCCAAAAAGTTGCCACAAACGTTATTCAGAAGGAAAATGTAGAAAAGGGCGCGGCGGGGTCAGTCCTGGGCGGCGGGCGGCGGATGGGGGCCGCC